TTTTTTTTTTTTTTTTGAGCGTTAGAAATTGAGCAGATGTGACAAGCCTTTGGTGGACGGAGTGATCGGGTACTTGTGTTGGTGAGGTAGCAGATAAATAATCGAATAGCCGAGGTACATGCAAGTTGCATAATCTTTGTTTGAACCAAGGTCCAATACAGAAAATATAATCATTGCAAAAGGCGTGCACTTTCTCAACGCATACTACTCCCTTTGGTCCACAATAAGTGGTTTTTTAGCCCTTTTTTTGTGGTCCAAAATAAGTGATTTTTTCAGATTTCAAGAATGAATTAATTATTTTTTTTCTCCATTGCTCTTGGAGTAAATAGTGTTGGAGTATGTGTTAGGAGTGTTTATGTAAAGAGATAGTAAAGGTTAATATGGTCAATTTCATTACCAATTAATATTAAAAGGTGAATTTCTTAATTTGTGCGAAAACAGCCAAAAAATCACTCATTGTGGACTAGAGGGAGTATCTATTGTAAGGGGAAGAGTGTTCACTTTCTTATGGAATTTAGTATTCTCGTCATATTGTTGGTAAAGTTGAATCACTCATCATTTGACTGAAATAGCATATGGACTTTTGTAAACTCTTAAATACTCAACAAAGATCCTACTTAGGAACGAAAAAAAAAAAGGAAAAGGAATTTAAAGAAAATTCCGTTGCCGGGACTTGAACCCGGGTCTCTCGGGTGAGAGCCGAGTATCCTAACCACCTAGACTACAACGGATTGCTGATAGTTGTCAGTGCTAAGTATTAGTTAACAAGAATAACTCAAATAATTATTTATTTAAACCATCCAGTTATTTCTCTAGCCGAAAAATTTCTTCAGGAACAATTCCCTACATGAATGTTATTTAAAAACCATAAGGCTTAAGGTTACCAGCTTGCAACAATAACAAAAAACTCAGTGAAATTCCACATGTGGGATCTCGGGAGAGTAATGTATATACCGTCCTTATCTCTACCTTGAGAAAGTAGAGAGATTGTTTCCGGTAAACCCTCGGCTCAAAAAAAATACAAAAGTAAAGCGAATAAAAAGGCTCGGAAAAGATAAAAGCAAGAAATAACAAGAAGTAGCAATACCAGCAAGGCAATCAGAAAATCAACGTGCAAGAATCAACAGGTAGTAACAGAAATCTGAGAACAAGAAATACAAGACTAGCACTAAATAGTGCGCTAGAACTGCTTGTACGAAGAAGGTGCTCGACTACCTGACCTTCTACCATAATTCTCGACCTCCACTCTCTAACTCTTCAATTCAAAGCCAAAAGATCCGAAACTAGTCAAACATTTTGCAATTCAATCAAAATATACTCCAATGCTTATAATTAATCAATTTATAGAAATTATCAACTCCGCTCAAAAAGTCAATAAAGTCAACCCCGGGGCCCGCGTGTCCGGATTTTGAAAAATTTTAAAGATAAACTTTACCCATAACATTACGAACTCAAATATATGATTTATTCCCAATTTCATATCCAATTTCGTGGTCAAATTCCAAAAATACCAATTCTAGGTCTTTCTTAAAAATCCCAAAATTTTCACAAATTTTTATGTTAAAATTCCATGTTCATGAAATATAACCAAACGTTGCTTAGAAACACTTATCCCCAAGAGATGGATGAAATAGCTCTCCAAAATCGCCCCAAAGTCGGCTCCAAGAGAGAAGGATGAGATGAAATGAGCAAATCCCGTTTTTGGTAACTTATATTTTGCCCAGGCCTCCCTTCTACGCGATCGCCGAAATGACCTCGTGATCGCGGAGGCCAAACAGACCTTACCCATAAATTCCCTTACGCAAACGTGATAAAGCTTTCGCGATCGCGAAGCTCAACCAGGAAAGCCTATGCGAACACGTGTCAAACAAAGTGAACGCGAAGGCAAAAATCCCTAGCCTCAGAAAATACCCTACGCGATCGCGTGAGCCCTTCCGCGATCGCGTAACACAACTCCCCCAAACAGGCCTGCCTCCTCAACTCTCTGCGTTCGCGACTCATCTCACGCGAAGAAACACCTGCTCCAGCTACGCGGACGCTTTTCCTCTTACGCGATCAGGTTGAACAAAACCTCCACCAGCCCAGCTAACCCTTCGCGATCGCATCCTTACTTCCGCGATCCTGATTCATACCAATCACACCAGAAACCAACAGTGGCAACCCAAGGAGAATTGATCTGAAACCATCCCGAAACTCACTCGGGGCCCCGCCCGACCACACCAACAAGTCCCAATACCTTACCCAAACTTATCCAAAGGCTCGAAATACCACGAACAACATCAAAATCATGAATCGACGATCAACTTCCTTCTTTCAACTTTCAAACTTCCAAACATCGACGAACGCGTCCGAATCATATCAAAACATTCCGGAATGACGCTAAACTTTGCGTACAAGTCATAAATCACGATACGAACCTATTTCAATGCTCGAAATCCCAAACGGACATCGATAACACCAAAGTCCACTTCAAACCAAACATAAAAAATTCTTAAACTTTCAAAATGCCAACATTCCACAATAAGCACCGAAATACTCCAGGGCGACCCGATACTCAACCCAAACATACGCCCAAGTCCGAAATCATCATACGAACCTATTAGAACCTTCAAATACCTATTCCGAAGTCGTTTACTTAAAAGTCAAACCTTAGTTAATTATTCCAACTTAAAGCTTCCGAAATTAGAATTGTCCATCCGAATCAACTCTGAACTTCCCGAAATTCAACCCCAACCGCACGTACAAGTCATAATACCTGAAGTGAAACTACTCAAGGCCTCAAACTGCTGATCAACGCGCTAGAGCTCAAAACGACCGGTCGGATCGTTACACTTGAATGGCAGGGTATCCACAGACACAGTGGCGGACCCAAGTGGTGGCTAGCGGGTTCAACTGAACCCGCTTCACAAAAAAATAATACTGTGTATATGTATAAATTAGGATTAAAGATGTTTAAATTTTGCATAAATATTTTATTTGAACCCACTTGACAACTACTATTTTACGACTAAATTTATATACTTTTAAGATTGAACCCGCTTGTACAAAATCCTGGGTCCGCCACTGCACGGACATGCAATGACATGAAACAATGAACAAGTTTGCACAGTTGCAAATGCAAAGGGAAAGAATGCTACCCCTAAAAGTTTGTGTATGGAAATAGATGGATTGAGAGATTAATGCTGGGTTAGACTCTTGTGTTCATATATTTGTGTGAATCACTAAGATTAGGGCCATATGTCCAATCTTGGTTAAACTATAATAGATTATTTTATGGCCTGTAACTACTTCATGTTTTTGATAATAAAAGAAAATTCTTCCAAAAAAGAAATGGGGTTCTTCCTCCAATAGAAAAGAAAAAATATAAATATAAATTAAATCCAACCTATGCATTTATGCGTGTTGTCTAATCCTATTTCTTTCTATTGCCCTTTCCTTTCATTTCGTATTAATGAAATTTGTGCTTAAAATCAAATCTTAATAAAAGATTTTAATTTACTCAATAAAATTTATATATATTTCTATTGGATTTGATCTTTTTCTTTTTAATGGTGGTGTTCGAGTTATAAATCTTATGCACATCTCAAGTATACACTGGCTGCCTCCATCAATAGTTGTATGGGGTAACTTTGCTCAGCAAAACGTAGGTAATATTTTAATGAAATTCAAGGTTAATTAAGGAGATATACTTTCTAGCAATTTCTCATTGTATAGCGATCTCTTTTCTTTTTTTACTATTAAATAGAATTTCAAAAATAATTTCATATAATTCAAATAACTCAAAGATGTCGTCATCAAATTGTTTCTTTCACTTGGTCCATATTTATTATGAAATTCTAGTTCACTCGTGTGCACAAACTCAGCCAATTTTCTTTTTAAGAAAGTGTAAAATTTGAAATATACACAAAGGGTATACATTGATAAAACCTAGTGAAATCGGGAATCTTCAATTTTTCGGGTCAAAAGCAAATCTTTATTGGGTAAAATCTCATGTGTTGCCTATCTGGACGCTCCTATTTAATATATCACCAGTTTTTTTTCTTCAAAAAATTTAATTGACAGCCAGTGTAGGCAAACTTCAGATAAAAATGTCCATCCATCTCTTCCTCTTAATATCGAAAATTTGGAACTACTAAGCTTAACTTCGGACAAAATTGATTGCTTCAAAATTATCACGCGTATGTCTGAACTTCAGATTCAGATTCACTGTTTGAAGTTAATTATTATTATTATTATTATGTGTATACGGTAAAAATCGGGCCTACCCGATTTTACTATTTGACCAAGATCGGGAGATTGCATCGAAGGACGGTCTCGTAACGGAACAGACTAAATCACAAGGACTGGGTACCAAGTTCAGAACCGAGGTACCTGTCGAGATCGAGGCTAGTAGCGATCGAAGCCAAACAAGACAGACATCGAGCAAGATCGAAGATAGCACAATAACAGAAAGGCGAGATATCCGTGACTGGTCAAGGATCATGGCGTAAATCTCGGAACGGATCAAATCAGAAATAGTTAATTAGCTAATCATGGAATTTCCTTCTGTAATTAGAGTTATACCATAAGTAGACCTCCTCTACTATATAAAGGGGAGTATTAACCATTTGTAAGACACATTGTCCTTGCATAAAAAAGCCAATATAACTCTCTCTCTTTAGCTTATACTCCCTTGTCCATCAGCTTGTTTTATTCTTAAATGTTTTGGTATCAATCAATTCGAGGGTATCCTATCTCGAGGGTTAAATTCCGTTTCAACACTGGTTCGCTTTACTTTATAGTTCATTTCTATCATTAATCTTCATATTTATCTATTGGTATTAAGT